CTTTTAATGCCGCAAAACTCTATGTCAGTTTCTCAACCAAACCGATATTGACACTGTGCATTAAAGATAGATTACCCAAAATGGCGACATCAATGTGTGTATATAAATTCAACTGCTCCTGTGGAGCTAGTTATATAGGTCATACCCAAAGGAATTTATCTTTACGCACTCGTGAACATATTCCTGTTTGGCTTGGGAAAAGAGCAACCAAATCGTTAAATAGTGCAATTCTGTCCCATCTAGTGGATAGCGAACACTGCATCAAAGTAGATGAGTCATTTACAGTTGTGTATCGAGTACCGAAGAATCTCCCCAAAGGCACATGATTACGCCTCCTAGCCATAGCTGAGGCTATGGTGATTAATAGACAGACCAGACCTATGTGTACAGAAGAAACTTGTTCACTCTCTCTGTCTACCTTGGTCCACTATAAGGTCACCAGGATCATAATTTTTCGTATTATTAATATTATTATCATTTTGTGATATCACGTCTTTATTATCCATCTTTAACCTTTCCTAGATTACTAGCTCGCTAGTTTTCTAGCCGGTCCCAAGCCCGGATAAAGAGGGAGGGTTGGAGCGTGGTGCTAGCAACTCCACCCCCCAAAACTCAACCAAATCGCTACAGAGACTTTAACGCATAAATATATTAAAAATACTAAAAATATAAACAATAACCTTATTTTTCGCTGGAATGGGGGAAGTGAAATGACGCAGGCCGGTGAAAGCCTTCGGGAAGCCAGTCAGCCAATGTGCCCTCTTTCGATGAAAGCAAAAATAAGGATGGGGACGTGGAATGTTCGTACAATGTACGAAACAGGAAAGGCTGCCCAGGTGGCCGCAGAAATGAGAAGATATAGAAAAGAAGTCTTGGGAATCTGCGAGAGCAGATGGAACGGATGTGGAAGGTGCCAACTATCAACTAGAGAGACAATAATCTATTCCGGTCACCCAGAGGACAATCACGAGCACACCGAGGGAGTGGCCATCATGACGTCACCAACAGCAGCCAAAGCTCTCATGCAGTGGGAACCAATCTCCTCCAGGATAATGACAGCCAGGTTCAACTCAAAAGGAAGGAAGGTTACAATCATTCAATGCTATGCGCCTACAAACGTCTCAGAACAAGAGAAGAAGGAGGATTTCTACAGACAACTACAAACAGTAATGGACAACGTCCCAAATGGCGATATCAAAATCCTGATGGGTGATATGAATGCGAAACTAGGAGGAGAAAATACAGGAATAGAACTCACCATAGGTCGCGGGGCCCTTGGGGAAATGAACGACAATGGTGAATTCTTCTCAGGATTCTGCGCCTTCAATGATTTGGTGATTGGTGGCAGTGTGTTCAAACACTTTGAGAAGGCCTTCGACAGCGTTGACCGCGAAGTGATTTGGAAACTACTCGAGTACTACGGCGTACCCCAAATATTCATCAACCTTATTCAACAGCTGTACGACAACGGAACATGTCAAGTGATCCATAACGGAAAACTCAGCGAGGTGTTTGGAGTAAACGCAGGAGTCAGACAAGGGTGCTTATTATCACCAATGATATTCCTAATTGTTGTGCACTGAACTATGCGTCAGACAGTAGGAAACGGCAGGAGAAACAGGGATATGCTGGACCGACGTAAAGAACCTAGAAGACCTGGATTTTGCGCATGAATGATTTGTGTTTGATATCACACACACAATATCGAAGACTTAAAAGCGAAAACCGACCGACAAACTGGTCGAAGAAGAAGCCGGTTAAGACAGGACCCCAGGTGAACGTAGACAAGACGGAGGTTATGAAAATAACCAACCAACATTAACAACAGCAGCAACATCCAGCGTCAATCACTGTCAACGGGAGGGATTTGAAAGAGGTTACTTCATTCACTCACTTATCTAGGGAGCATTGTCTCAACTACAGGAAGTCGGAACGGATGAGGATGTCAAATCTAGCGAGAATCGGGTGGGGGCGAGAAACACATTCATCAACCTGAAACCAATCTGGAAATCTCCATCACTCAGCATCAACAAGAAAATTCGCTCGGATTTTCAATACAAACGTCAAGTCGGTCAGTTCTTCTATACAGATCAGAAACTTGGCCGACGGGTCACAAAGAATATTTCCAACAGCCTGTTGCAGACCAGGCCTTTATCAACAACTGTCTTCGCTCTATACTCAAGATCAGATGGACAGGCCAAAAAGAATCACCAACAAGAAACTATGGCAGCTACAAAACAAGAACCCATCGCCCAACCAAGATGCAGGAGAAAGTGGAGATGGACACTCGCTGAGGCCGCCGCTGGGTGACTTCGCGAGTCAGGCCATTTCTCGAGTGTAACCAGGACGAAAGGGAAGCACGTGGAGAGTGGAACGTCAGTGCAAGGGTGACATGGAGGAGATCGTGTGAAGAGGAGTTGAAGGAGTATTGACTAACATGGATGCAGGTGAAAAGTACAGCAGAAGGAAGACAGAAGCAAGTGTAGACGTGCAGTTGAAGCCCTATGTTCCACTAGGAACCCAAGGGAACAATAATTATTATTATTATTATTACCCACTTCTCCACCCAGTTTATTTCACCCCATTGTTACCTGTAATTCTTGTCAACCTTTGCGATTTTATACTAAGCCTACCAATTATGTAACATCTTATTACAATTCAGCCTCTTTATTTTATCATTATACACTATCGATCAGGCCTCACATTCAGTGTCCCCTTTGTAAATGTGTGTTTGTATGTATTTTGTGGTTATCGCAATTCTCTCAACTTAATGATACTTGTATTCTGTTGACCATAAAACAGCACTATATCACCCAATTGTCCATTCACAGTTCTTTACATTTTTCTGACTATACACTCTATACAAATATGATTGACTATGTTAACTAATAGAGTATCATCTCAGCTTACACATGCACCCCAATACAGTTTCTGATACTATTTTCATTTGCCTTTATTGGCTATATGTACTCTATTATTCATGGATTTATAACTATAAAGCCTGAAGAAGTTATCGAAAACAATTTTTCGCTCAAAATCTTGTCTTACTTAATTCCGTGTTTTATTTGGTTTCTATGTACGCCCTGAGCACAACTCTTTCGTCAAATTATTCATGTTAATAGGTAACTCTTCTTTAACAATCGTTTGTGACAAGTCATCACTTTTGTTACTACGCTCTTATATCAACATCCAATTCATCTGAACTTACTAACCGCATTTTCGTTTGGCAAATTTAATGTACCCACACATACAAAACAACCATGTATATTTGTGACTGTACAGCTATGAAAATGAATTCGCCGAAAAGACTTCGCTGAACTACTGGTCTTCTGTCTATTAATGTTCGAATAGGGATTTTTCATGAATGAATAATGAAACCGGCAACCGACATATAAATAGTTGAAGTATTCATGATTTTCATGAGTCGTACTTATGTAGAAAACTCATATGAAAACGGAAACTGAAAAATGTTACTGACTTAAATACCATTCGTAATTAACTGTTTATTATAAAAAGTACCTGAAGCAAATTACTCTGGCTTTAATTTACGTTTTCCATAGGAAAATGGTTTAATTAGTTAAGCTTTTACATTAAGAAAACCAACAGTACTGAAAGTAATTTTGTCTAACATACGCCCTTGATGGCCAAATACTGTAGCATCAATTGTCACGTTGTACAAACCTCACTCTTACAAAGACGATCGTCTGCACCACTAGTCAAAATCAGTTTCAAGCAGCAACAACCACAATGCCACGTTGAATGTCCTTTGGGCGTGTGTTAACCCCACTATTATCGTAGCTCTAAAACTACTGGGAAGGCATAGCTTATGCCCTGGCCAAAGCACTAGTCTTAAAAATTTTTTCTTCGCTGATAAGTGATGGGCAAAGTAAAACTATCATAGCCAAAACTACAGAGACCTTGAAAAACCAATTAGAATTTAGATTCAGTTAAGTCGCATAGCCATTGAAAAATCCACCAAAAAAACGTTGCAAACATGATATTGTCCTAAATAGTTGTCACTTATGCATTGTAGGAACTTCTACCAGTCACTACACAGATCACATATACAGAAATCATACCGTGCGCGATAGATGCAATTGCCCAGGTGACTCTATGTCATGGTACTTTGAGATCTATTGATGAGTCTGACACTGTCCCTTGGCCTACCCTAACAACTATTTCCAGTGGCTTGACTTGTAACCGAAAGGTCTTGTGTTCGAACTTCTATGAGTCCGTGCTTCTGGAGAGTTCCATGCTAGGACGAAATACTGTCCACTGCTCCCAGGTTTTAATGCTGAAAACTCCATATGATGAAAGGTCATTCCCTCCCAAGCTTCCAACAATTCTAAACTTATTCTAACCTATTCTTCGATAATGCCTTCTATGGTAGATGAAAATTTTATCTACCCACCATGTTTATGAAATAACGTTGGTCGTGTTTAAAAAGAGAGTTGGGTGCTGAATAAAGTCTTTTGGTTCTGAAGTAACGCTACTCCATGTTTAATATATGGAACAACGCTAATAAAAAACCCAGTAGGTTCTGATTTATTCCTAAAAATGCCTAGAAAAAGAACACGGTGCTGAATTAGTGCCAGTCATGCTGAAAACCAGCACTGGGTTCTTGTCTGTGCCACTAAAGAATCCATTTCGGAACAGATTCAGAATTCACTCAGTATAGAATGTTAGAATTACTTCAGAATTAGTGAGATTTAATTCAGCATTGTAGTAACCCAGCTAGCATTTTCTTCGGGCGCATTGCAGAATTTTTGGGGCAAAAAACTTCGGGTAAATCTACTTACGTGGGACACTGTCCCGAAGTCTGCCCCAAAAATTCTGCAATGCGCCCGAAAAAAATGCTAGCTGGGTAAGCTTGGACCCGGGCTGTTCGGTCTTTAAAAGTCAACTTTTGAAGGACCTTGACCCTTGTTTTTATGATATATTTTACTGATAAGAGGCCGGAATGACCACAGCAATAAAAAACATACCAGATGGAGCCTTACCAATGATAAATCCCAGTGAGCACTGATTTTAGTGTAACGACAACCCTCGAAATTCCGGGTTTTATGTGCTTTTAATAAGGATGAAACACTGAAGCAGAACAATATGGATTCATTTCATTCTTCTCTCATCCTCATTCAAGTACAGAGAATATTATCTATCGCTGTGTATCGTGAAAAAGTGATAAATAGGTGACTCTAAACTACATCACCTCAAAACGAAACAACCTAATGAACGGACTAATGACCTTGAAAAACCAGTCACAGTCGGCTGTGGATACTCCCAATTGTGGATGCTGTACGCGAATTACGTAGTAAATTCCATCTATATCCAGTATTTAGGTGCTACTTAGACAACAGGCTCATTGGAAAAAAGAAAACATGTAGCCAACTGTCAACCATGGGCTATATTCACAATGAAATCAGTAATACGGTCAACTTCGTGAATCCTTTCAATGGGGCTGGTAGAAATTCCATGGAAAGTTTCTAAGTTCCCCTAAAGAGGAAGGCCAGAGAGTTGAATGACTCTAGAAACACCAGGGTTTACAGTTTTGGTTTAACATAGACATTGGGACTTAAATGAGAAATTCAGAGGTTCTCTTGGAAGATATATAAGGGCATGAAGGAGTAAATAATTCCCCAAAATTATTGGCCACACATTCATCACCGAAGGTTGAGTGCTTACCCCCACTGTTTTAGTCTATCTGTTTAGCTGAGGGCCCAGGTCAATCAACCACACTATTTGGCACGCCGCCGTATTACATTCGTTCGTTTGCTCACGATCTTTAGCTAGTTAAGCAATCATCTCGCACTCCGATTTGGTCTCGAAATATGACTCGTAATTTGGACGGTCAATTCTGGTGTTTTGCTTTTACTTTGGTCTACGCGGGACGAATAGAAGTTGCGGGTATTAGACCTTGCGTTAGTATACTTCGTACCACTTTGTTTCGTCCGGTACGTTCGAATCAGGTGACGCTTTTGCACGCGTTTTCGTTTATATTCATTTATTGGTTACTATTAATTGATCTTTAATAACGATGCTTCAAAATTCTAAAAGGCGTGTTCGCGTAAACACCAGTAATTTAGAAAATAGCACCAGCTCGTCTAATAACGCATTACCACCCCATATTATTAGTAGTCCACCCAACATAAAAGACTCGAACATAACTCTCACCCCTGTAATAAAGGTGGAAGATGTTCTTTTTGAAAAAGCAGAGCTCTCTTACTTAAAATGCGTAATTAAAGAGATGCGGCTACAGATAGGTGAATTAAAAACGAAATTAAGTTCACTAGAATGTATACCCGAAACTATCTCACATATGAAATAGGAACTGCAGGATCATACAGTCCTAAAGCCTTTTAATATGACTTCTAGAATGACTCATACTGACTCAAAAAGTGCGAAGGAGTTAGAAAACGCCATCGACTTTCTATCCAGCGAAGTTGTTAAAAGGCTGGCTTCAAAACAAAACGCAATAGTGTATAATGTACCGGATAGTGAGCCCATAAAGTCGGTCCAGCACTCATTGCTGAAGGCTGCAAATCTATTGAATGCACCTTGTCAGTGCATTCGCCTAAGCAAAAAAGACCTAAAACATCCTTGTCCAATACTCTTTAGGTTCGACAGCTACATAACAGCTGAACGATTTAAGATGGCGGAAGATCTTCTGGCTACTGCCACTAAATTCAAGACTATTAAAGTAGTCTCGGATAAAACACCTAACCAAAGGCAAACAACCAAGAACTCCTTCGATACAAAGTTGACCACACTGAGAAATACATCTGGTATGCGTGCTAAAGTGTCGACAGATACTGAAGCACAGCAAGTCACGTATATAGTATTGGGAGTAAAAACGGCAAGTAAAAGCGACCCGAAACTCAGTAAGAGTAGTGTCACTGGGTGCAATCTTAGAGTACACGAGAGCGCATCTCGAAAAACCCCTGACCTACATGACATAGACGCACAAACTATGGCTGACCAGAAACTACTGGCAGACCACACTCAGTCTGGATTCAAGCCAGAGAGTCCCTCAGTAGAAACCGCAAAAAAGACCACAAAGCCCAGAGTCCCACCCCAGACTTCGACATACCTCCCTCGTAATAAGTCTAATAAGCAGCATGTCAGTCTAAAAAATGACAATGCATGGGTGACGAAGCACATTCCCAAAAACGTCACGCAGCATGTGAGTGAGAATACCCCTTCCCGAACTAGGAGTAACATGCCTAACGACGCATATAGCTAGGGAATGAAAGGTAGAATGGATCCTCAGGATACATGGAGCACTAAACGGGACCACATTAATGAAAATTCTTGTCCAAACTCTCGCACTATCTATGTTAAACCTCATCAACATAATGAGTATAGGTCGACATTTGATCCCTCAATAACTTCACTCACACACGTGATGTGAGCCAATATGCATACGACTATGAAAGCCCCATGAGGTATAACTACCAAGGTAATCTTAACACAGGGTACCTGGGTCCAGCAACCTATAACGCAAGTTGAAAGGCAGACCATATATCACCAGTACATGAAAGCAGAAGCCGACCCATGGATGCTAACAGTCAAAATATGCAACAGGATTATTTTCGGCTGTAGCAAAAAATAGTCCCACTCGCTGCACAATTCATCCAGGAAATAGTACACACACTGACTCTGTCTCACCTCAGAGCCCCTCCAAACATAACGTAGGGATAGTAACAAGTAACCATGTTAACCTCTACTCCAACAACTTTGGTTTACTAAAAATTATGCTCCTGAACGCCAGATCTCTGCTTAATAAAATAAAAACGCTTCGCTGCCTGGGATACATAGAACGGCCAACAAAAATAATGGTGACGGAAACCCGGATTACTACTAATATACCTGACACAAAGCTAGTAACAGACAACTACGACATCTATAGGAACGATAGAGTTGATAAAAAAGAGGAGGCGGTTGCTTAATATATGCCTCTAAATCCACTAACTCCAATACTTTCAATAACCCAACTACTGACAAACTCCAACAATCTAAGTGGATAAGCATCCACACAAACAAAAGTAAAATTCTCGTGGGATGTATATACAAACCCCCAATAGCCATGAAATGACTGATATAACTATTGGAGAAATACTAGAGCATGTAGCCACGCTGGACTGCGACTACAAAGTAGTATGTGGAGATTTCAACTTATCTGGAGTAAACTGGGATACCTGTACAGGACCTAGAAACCATGAGGAACTACTACAAGCTATAGACGTAGGAGGATGGAAGCATTGTGTACGCCTCCCTACAAGGAACCAAAATACTCTTGACTTAATCCCCTGTCATAAAACAGAGCCCATCTCAGCAACATTACGGATTTAAGTTCATCACATTATCTTAGGAAAGATGGGTTGTAGTTGTTGAGGTATATATGATGCCCGACGAGGATACATCTGTCCATATGATGTTGTGGTGAGTTATAACCTTTTTCATGTTGTCGGTTTATGTCCATTTTATTCCACTTATTGTGTTGGGTAGAAGCTTTACATACGAAATGTTTTGTCTGTTTCGGGGTAAGTACCTTAATCGTTAATGTTTTATCTAAAATGATAAATAAAGGCAAAAAACAACAGCTGTAGTATTTAAGCTTATACATTAAATGGACCTATAATTTCGGAGGCTCTCAGATAGGAAATAGAACTACTATCGTTTTCAAACTCTTGTAGTTTGTCGTTAAGCACTATTTTGAAGGAGGCCAATTGGCGGCCTGCTTAAATCTTGGGCTACCAATTACCTTAAACATTACAAATCATATTGCATCTAATTTCTCATTTCTAATTGATATTTTAATCAATAAATCTTATTCAAATATGACCTCAAATCGGATTATTTATTCTCGTGAATATCTAATATCTTTAAAACCTACTGATCTGCAACTCCATAAAAAAGACAAGAAAAAGCATCATGCCGGCTGGCAGAGAGCATTAAAAAATACCCCTATTCAATTCATGACTGTTCCCGCAATTATGAGTACCAATTGTCGCTCCCTGCCGGCTAAAATTAACTGTCTTCAATCGCTGGTGTCTTCCATTATATATCATAATACTGGGATCATATCACTTCAAGAAACATGGCTTCATGATCTATATGATGACAATCTAGTGTATCTAAATAATTTCAAACTATTCAGACAAGATCGGTGTAGTTCCAGGAAGAAACGCGGTGGCGGTGTCGCCATCTTCATCAATTCACAATGGTGTACGTCTAATAATGTATGTTTCAAATTCTCTAGTGACAATATTGACTGTCTCACCGTTAAGTGTCGACCTAAACATTTGTCAAAATACAACTACATTTACATCTCGAACATGTATATTGCTCCTGGATGCAACTCCACAGAATTATCTTTATTTGCGGATGAATTTACTTCCCTTGCTGCCACCTCCTTCGGAAATTCCTTGTCTATAGTTACTGGTGATTTTAATTCTAGTGACCACAGCTTCCTAATTTCACTTGGACACGATAATATTGTCAACTTCCCGACTAGAATGGACAACACTCTTGACCTTGTTTTCACAAACGATGCAGGAATATTTGAAGCTCGAAAAAGAGCCCCACTACTAAATTCAGATCACTGTATCATAAGAATATTGCCCAAAGTATATGGAAAGCAGCACAAAAGGGTCTTCTCATACCTTGGAAAGAAAACACAACACAGATGTTATTCCCATGACAACATACTGAACCTAAGGTCCATGTTAAAAGACACAAACTGGGATCTATTTACTGAACAAGCTCTTGATAACACAATTGCCAACATAACACATTATCTTAATTTCTGTCTTGATGTTTGTTGTCCAAAAGAGACAATCTTCTTAAAATTCGATCGCTTCTCCTCTTCTCAACTCAAAAAGCTCCGCCGTGAAAAAGAAAGGTTGTTCAAAATGAAAAACAAATCTGGTGTTAAGAGAATGAACACTTTGATTAAGCTTGAATTACAAAGATTGAATGCTCTCTATAACCAGAAGTTTCTTTCATGTAAATCCCCATCAAATATGTGGAAGTTATTAAAGGAAATCACAGGTGGTAAGCAAATGTTGA